GTTCGGCAATCCAGCAGTAATTTTGAAGAAGCAAGTAGATAGCTATGGAATACTAGTAGTTTCCTAACCCTAAGGGCTGGCATGTGGAATTTCTTTACATTTTATGAAATTATGTATTTGTTGAAATTGGCATAAATGAATAGAATCTTACACAATCTGTGCAAGACTGTATTCAGACACTGATGTTTACATAAATGAAATAAATGAAAACTCCTAAAAAAAATTTTTGGCTACATTTCAAGCTGGATAGTGTGGCCAAAACTTCAACTTCTTGATTGGTAATAATGTCAGAAATCACATAAGAAGTATTTCATGAGAGCAGCAGAAAAAGACAGATACCATGAGAAGGTTCCAGGCAAGAAAATAACAGCACAGAGTGTGGTCCTCTCAGGCTGGAAGGTCGTGAGCACTTGGCTTCTGGAGGGGTAAATCCCACCTTTCTACTGAGTTCTGCACGGTGTTATTAACAACTCTGTCCTACCTTTTATAAGGTAATTTCAGGGTCTCTCTAATATCTTAGAAGCACCACACTTCTCTTACAAACTTCGTATCTTTTCTGAGTTTCTTGTGTTACTGCTAAACGGGGCTTGGCATCTATTGTTCTTTCTATTCTTCATTCATTTATTCACTCATTCCATAACTAATTGCTTCCTAATGCCAGTTTCCTAGTTCCTGAATAAACAAAAAGTCCTATTCTCACAGTGCTTGTTTTTGAGGACAGAACAACCTCATAAGCTGCTGTGAAAATTAAATGGGTTAGTATATAGAAAACAATCTATGATGTGGAATCTTTTATCATCCTGATTTTATGGATGAGGACACAGAAAGGATAAGTAACCTGCTTAGGCTCACACGGCCAGTAAGTGGCAGAGCTGGATACAGTCTAGGCAGTCCAGCCTGAAAAACATATCCTAGACCTCTACCCACTTCCCATCAAAAATGGTAAAAAGACTTAACAAGCCAAGGCAATATAAATACTTCACCGTGGGGAAGGATAGGTACCTGTTAGGGCTGCTAGAGAATGTAGGTGGCCCTTAAAGTGCTTTGACAACAATTTGGACCTGATTCATGGGAGTCCATTAATCTTCTGCAACTTTTTTTTTTTTTTTAAGGAAACAATGGATGAAGCAATGATCCAATCACCTGTGAGCCCATATTTGAATCCCTTCTTCTCCATTTACTTTGTGAAGCCACTTTTTTTTTTTTTTCATGAGAAGGGGAATGCCTGTTATCCCAAGGAATCATTTTGTGGCTCAAATGATACAGACAGAAACCCTTTGCAAATTGGGATTTAAACCTTTGCTGCATGGCGTCTAGGTATCTCCTCTCTGTGTTGGGCAATTGACCAGTATGTTTACTTCTCTAGGTCTTTGAGAATACAAAAGGGTATGAAGAAGTGGTACGCAGTATGGGGAAGAACCCTTGGGTCTAGGAGCCCTTGGTTGTAAATTCTCATTTGACCACCTTCTTTAGGGCTCTTTTTTTTTTTTTTGTCCCCTGAGACTGTATTATCTCTTTGTTTCCTTGAGCCTCTAAGATTGATGAGTGACCTGTGAAGTATTTATAAAGCATGAAGTGACAGGTAAATGTGGAGGTGCTGTCGTGCTGTATGTCAATGAGGAATCTCGAGTCCTTAAACAGATCTGGTAAGAGAATGCAGTGAAACAAGTCATGTTTGGTGAATTTTTTCCCCCTTTCGAAATAACAAGTCGGCCTTCCTGTCACAGAGAAAGTTCATTTGGTGTTAGACATGTTGGCTTGTAACTATGACTCAGTTGTGTCAACCAGGTGCACAAAACCACACTGATGAAAAACATGGGGCCCAGTTCTTCCAACTTGAATGCCCCTAACTCTTTTGGTATGTAGGGAAAGTTATTTCATCTGTGATCTAAATTTCTGCCTAGATGGGGAAATTTCCCGGCCTTCTCCAGCATGGTTAAGCTTGTTGAACCGCGTGATGTCATAATGAATTATTTATATCTGCTGCTTTCATTGAATTGTGAGCCTCTTCAGGTCTGGGCTGGGGCCACCTCAGTACATATGTGTGTGCATGCCTAGCACATGCACAATGCCTGAGAAAAATGTGCCCAATCAATACTTGATAAATAAGTGAAAGAACTTAGCAAAACACAAAATAGGTTGTATAACAATTTTTTTTCCAGAAAGTGCAATCTTAGTTCCAAACAGATGAGTCTTAGTAGCCTCTAACAACACCTGGACTATCCCTCAGGGGTGTCCTCTTCTAGGACTTTGTAGGCTGTGAGTCTCATTCTTAGGAAATAAGAGTATTTTTTTAAAGTGATTAATTTCACAAAATTTATGTAACACTCTTCATTTTATAAACAAGAAAATTCCACCCAGAGACCCATTTCACCTTTTGTTTCCATTTTTTAAAAACCATATTTCAGAAAAATTTTATGTATTTGTATTCAACTTAAGCACTGTCTTGTAATTTCTTTTTCTTCTTAACATAGGTTTGCTTTTTTTATGGTTCTGTAGAGGGGTTGATGCACTTTTTCTTATAAGGCCAAATAGTAAATGTTCCAGGCTTTGTGGGCCTGTGTCCTCTGAGCAGCTGCGCAATCTTGCTGCTGTAGCGTGACAACAGCCGTAGACCACGCAGACACGAGGGGGCCTGGCTGTGCTCAGTAAAACTATACTCACAGAAGCACGCAGGCGGCTCTAGCCCTACTTTACCTACCTCTCTCCTACAGAACTACTATTTATCCTGTAGAATGCTATATAATACTATTTGAGTTATTAATTTACTAAATTATTTTTATACATGAACATTTGGGCACTTTTGTTCTTGGTTTTGTTTTTAGGTTTTCTGTTCTCTTGCGAGGAGTGTCTTCCTATATTTAGCATTTTTTTTTTCACTTATGTGTATATGACAGTTTCTTTGAGGTACATTTCAAGAACTCTTCAGTCTTGTGAGACTGCTTTCTAAAACCTCAAGGGTGGGGGAGCCTTGGCTTAGCCCTGCCTGGCATGTCTGACCAGCTCACAGCCGAGAAGGGAAACATGATCGAGAGCCTGTGCCAGAGAGAAACGGAATACAACGCTAAAGGGTTTAGGTTACATCATATGAGGTTACCCATAATTACTGTGTCTCTGATCTATAAAAATAGCAGTCGAGTGTAGTTTTGAATAATATAAATTTTAGTGACCTCATACAACACACCCTTTAATGTCGCAGCTCAGTCATATCCTAGGCCTCTACTCAATGTTCCTCATCCTGAGTTGGGGCTTTGGCAGGGACAGAAGGAGTGGTGAGCTGAACTCATGCAAGTGAAGATATTCTTAGCCAGAGGTAGATAGACAGGTCTCACAATATCATGAACCACAAATACAGATGCAAAGTGTAAGTATCTTATGAGTAGTCCATAGTAACTTATTCTGTGCTGGAGAGCTTAGTGGATGGTGAAGCCTAGGATTCAAATCCAGCTCTTTGGGATTGTAAAGCCAGACAGTTTTAACTCCATTCCTAAAGAGATGATTTAAATTCAGAGAGTCAGATGCAATAAGGTAATTTTACTTGATGCATAGTTTAGCCCATACATGCCTCTAAACTCAGGGTTTCCAAACCACAGGCCTATTTTTGTTTGTTTTGTTTTTTAGATTTTTATTTCAGAGAGAGAGAACACAAGCTGGGGAGACAGGCAGAGGGAGAGAGGAAGAAGCAGACTCCCCAATGCTGGAGCTCCATCCCAGGACCCTGGGATCATGACCCGAGCCGAAGGCAGATGCTTAACTGCAGGAGCCACCCAGGCACCCCTCACAGGCCTGTTTTTGTAAATAAAGTTTTATTGGTACACAGCCTAGTTCATGCATGTCTGTATTCCCTATACATCTTTTATATGGCAGTGGCAGAGTTGAGCAGTTTTGACAGAGGCCTTATAGTTTGCAAGCCTTAAAATATTGATTTTCTGGCTTTTAAAAAAGAAGCTTGCCAACCCCTGCACACGGTAAAGTACTATCCATCATATTAATTAGGAGTTTGCAAACGATAGCCCATGAACCAAAAATAACCTACTGTGTACTTGTGGAAAGTATTGCAACACAGCTGACCGCCGTGCCAGTTTGTTTATGTGTTGTCTGACTGCTTGTGGGCTTTTGTTCCATTAGATTAAGTCAATGCCTGAAATCGGCCCAAGTCCCTCCTCATTGAAATTTAGCGTGATTTTTTCCTTTCTTCCTCCCAAAACTCTGTGCTCTCATTCTGGATTATGTGTCCCTCCTCCATGAGGAGATGTTATAATGTGGGTGTTTGTAAGCTCTGGAGCTTAAATATGAGTTCAAATCCTAGGTCTGTCACTTTGTAGGTGTTTTTCAGTATTAACTTTCAATGAGACAAAGGGCCAGATTCGTGAAATTAAATGGAGAGCATATTTAATAATCAGGTTCCTCTTAGCTCCCCTGTAATCAGAATGTCCTACTCAATGGTGAGGTTGACAGAAGAAAGGATTTTGTTGTTGTATGGAAATGTTTCACTCTTTGTTTTGTAGTTTGCCGGAGTCCATCTTCTGTGAGTAGAAAACTATATTCTGACAGCCCAAGCAGAATTCTGTTTCTGCCACTCCACAGCTCTGTTTCCTTAGGAGCTCCGTGGCCTCTCTGAGCTGGGCCTCTATGGAAGCCTCCTTCCTCATAGGCTTCCTGTGAGGATTGAAGGAGGGAACTTTTGTAAAATGCCTGGAATGTGGCAGATTCTCTAAAAATGTTTCTTTCCCTGCTTTTGATTCCCAGAAGTGTTTTCTTATGTAAATTTTGTTTGGCACTCAGTGATGGTAATCATAGAAAAGTTTATTTCTCATCCTTTTCTAGGCTAATTCTCAGAATGTAACCTCTCAGGGTGAAGTTTTTATTTTGGTTGGCAGAGGCTGGTTCCCAAGATGAAATGAAAAAGGAGCATCTTGACTGTGAATGGGAGCCAGGGAAATGGACCTGAGAGATGAACATCAATTCACTCGACGTTTCCTTCCCTGTTTTGATTGTAGTATAAAGAAGAGGGTCACACAGTAACCAGTTACTGCAACGAGACCCTGCCCGGATGGGTGCATGACGTGCTGGGCCGGAACTGGGCTTGTTTTACTGGAACCAGAATGGGAGCCATCCCTGAGAAAGTGAAGGTGAACACAGCACACTCTGAGAGGCTCCGGGAAAAGTGAGTCATCACCAGTGGGAGATACATTTAGTTTTGTTTTAGAGTATGTAGCAGTATGTGTCTAGGTTAGTTCTTGGAAAATTTTTTTTTGATTATATAAAATTTATTTGACTTAGAAACAGAAGCCATATTCTATAAAAATTCATGGTGTTGAGTAATGGAACTGAGAGAAAGTATTTTTTTCACAGCACTCTGAAAGTAATGGACCAGTGATGGTTTTAAAGGAAATTTATGTGAGAGTATAGAATTGCAGTGACTAATAAAAATCATTTTATTATTGCCATGTGATAACATGTTGTAGAACACTCGTAGATACAAGTGTTTATGTTGCAACAAATGTAGGTGATACTAACTGAAATAAATTTTACGCAAGGCAGTGAATAACCGAAATAAAAATTCTTAGTACTGATGGAGTGTAGTAGTTTGCTAGGGCTGCCATAAGGAGCCCAGACTGCATGGCTTACGCAACAGAAATGTATTTTCTCACAGTTCTGTAGGTTACAAGTCCAAGATCAGTGTCAGCAGGTTTGGTTTTTTGGGAAGCCTGTCTCCCTGACTTGACATGTCCACCTTCTCCTGGTGTCCTTACACGGCCTCCCTCTGTCTGTGTCCTGCTCTCTTTTTCTCATAAGCGCACCCAGTCATATCAGGGTTGGGACCACCCATATGACCTCATTTTACCATAATTTCCTTATTAAAGGTCCTATCTCCAAATAAAATCACTTTCAGAGTTACTGGAGGTTAGGACTTAAACCTGTGAATTTTGGAAGGACACAATTCAGCTTACAACATGCAGTTAATGTTTTTGTTAAGTGAGGTTCAGTTTAAGTAACTGAACCACACAAACAAGAGATTTCAGATTTTATTCACTTGGAAGGGAAAGATAAATGGATATTAATGGTAGCAACTTCTTCCTGTTTCATTTAGTTTGTCAAATCCATGGAAAGAACACATGAATAAATCATCCCAAGCCAGGCCATGCTGGGAGTGAATGATTCTGTAGTAGAGAGGTTGGGGACAAGAGTTTAAAGGGACAAATTGTTCTTGTCTGGGAAGGTACTCACCAAGATCGAAACTAATACATCCCCTCCATTTTGAATTTACCTTTTAAATTGCTTTGCTTGACTTGATCCTTGAACAATACATTTCCTATTAAACTGTTCACTTTTCACCCTACCATTTAGGAGGTACTATGTACTAATGTGTTCTTTTTGATTATTTCAAATGTTGCCTCATTTAATGAAGAAGCTACCAGCTGGAGTGCTCAGAACCTATGTTATTGCACTTATAAAATGAACATTGGGGACTAAATTACCTTCAAGGTCCCTTTCAGCTCTTAATGATCTGTCATCCCATAGTAAAGTACGTTATTTTTAATTTCCTTGGATCTTAAACACTGAAAATAAGTGTTTAAGACCTACCTTGTCATTATTATAACGCACATGTCAGTGTCTGATATTTGCTAGACGTCAATGATAAAGCAAGGGAAGTAGGGCTGAGTTACTGTTGCTCAAATACTTCAAAATCAATAGTGACTCATTAGTAGAAAATACTTCAAAACATACATTACAATTTAAAATTTTATCCCCTGGTTTAAAGAGACAAACAACTGTAACTTGTTTTTGTTGTACGAGTGTTGTCAGAAATATGATATAGGCAGTTTTAAAATCTCTTTAGTAAAGGTACTTCTCTGGTTTCATACTTTGCAACAAGAAGGGAAGAACTTTGATAAAAACATAACATTCTGAATATAGTTGCCCATCTTTCTTATTATCTTCAGTGCTCCCAGGTTTTTTGACTATGTCAAAATACTTCCTCAGTGAACATCTAAATAAAAAGAGAAAGAAAAGTTCATAATATGGCTAGATGTACTCAGATTAGGTGTATCTTGCTTTGCATAGTTGGGAAGTCTTGGATAATGAGTCACACTTGAGTGACGGAATCTTCTCTAGTAGAAATAATATGGTGTATTCTGTAATTCCTAGCATCTGGCACATAGGTTTGATACATGTTTGAATTGTGTGACTAATCAACTCCCCCAATCTTTTTGCTTTGTAAACATGCTCTTTGTGTTGGATTTATCTGTATCTGCTCCCAAGCATTTGATAACAGGGAAACCAGTGCTTCTCAAATTTTAATGTTACTATGACTCAGCTGGGAATCTTGTTATTCTGACTTAGGTGGTTTGGATTGGATACTTAGAGGGCTTTCAGGTGCTGCTGCTAATACTGGACTCAAGAACCAAATTTGAGTAACAAGGATATAAACCCAGGTCCAATGTGATAATTTTTTTGCATCCTATGGTAATGATGTTTGCCATGTTATATGTACATGATACACAGTTCCTGCCGTCCTCTCCTTTTATTATTATTATTACAAAGTTAGAAAGGTTGCATTGTAGAAATTGCAGAGGGTGGGGAAAGGTGGTGATCCTGCATTGTCACTCAGATAACCATTTTCGACATTTAAAAAAGAGTATTTATAATATAAATATCCTTTCACAAAACGGTTAATTCTATCTAAACTTCTTTGATATCCTTTTTTTTTTGTTATGTAATGTTAATCACCATACATTACATCATTAGTTTTTGATGCAGTGTTCCATGATTCATTGTTTGCATATAACACCTAGTGCTCCATGCAGAACGTGCCCTCTTTAATACCCATCACCAGGCTAACCCATCCCCCCACCCCCCTCCCCTCTAGAACCCTCAGTTTGTTTTTGAGTCCATAGTCTCTCATGGTTCGTCTCCCCCTCTGATTCCCCCCCCTTCATTCTTCCCCTCCTGCTATCTTCTTCTTCTTCTTTTTCTTTTTTTTAACATATAATGTATTATTTGTTTCAGAGGTACAGGTCTGTGATTCAACAGTCTTACACACTTCACAGCGCTCACCCATAGCACATACCCTCCCCAATGTCTATCACCCAGCCACCCCATCCCTCCCACCCCCCACCACTCCAGCAACCCTCAGTTTGTTTCCTGAGATTAAGAATTCCTCATATCAGTGAGGTCATATGATACATGTCTTTCTCTGATTGACTTATTTCACTCGGCATAATACCCTCTAGTTCCATCCACGTCATTGCAGATGGCATAAACTTCTTTGATATCCTGCCTTATTATTTAATGTAGTGTGAACACTCTTCCATATCACTTGTTAATATTAAAAATAAAACTGCCAATTATTTTACCAGCAAAATATGGTTTTATTCGGGAATAGCAGGGAACTGCAACTGGAACAAGCAAGCTAAGGCAAAAACTGTAGGCAAAGCTGCAGAACAAAGGAGAAGCAGACTCTTTTATAGAGGAAAGGAGGGAGTTGGGAAGGCTCTTACAAACAAAAAGTCCATTGGAATCAACTGGGAGTTGGAACTATAGTGGCTTCTCATTGGCTGAGCTGTGGCAATCTCTCATTGGCTGGACTGTGTCCAGGGGAAAGTTGTGACTATCTCTCATTGGCTGGGCTGTTCCTCTTACTGGGATAGCAAAGTGTATCCACATGCAAGGTCCCTCCCTATCTTCCTGTTGGATTTGTAATTGATGAAGAGTGGTAGGGCATGAGAGCTAGTTTACCTGCCAACCTCCCTACTCCATTTTAGTGAGGTTTCCCTTAATTAATAGTCACACACTGAATGATGTTCTGTACATTTTTACTGAATAAACTAGATCGTAAATGAAGTACCATTATTTCTTTAATTGTTCCTTATCTTAAAACATTTATTTAGGTTATTCACAATTTATCACTATTACAAAAGTGTTTCATTGAACATCCTTATACATACATCTTAGTTAACTTGAATTTTTATTTTCATAGGAGTCATTCCAATTCCAGGCTGTTAGTATACGTGTGCCTCTCCTCGGGCAACGGTGAAGGATGCTTTTTGGACCCTCCTCATATGTTGTCTCTTCATGTATGAACCAAACCCAAATTTGCTTTGGTGCCAGAAAAACTGACTTTTGTTTGAACAAAAGATGTCAACAGAAACTACTATAAACAACAGTTTGTTTGAAATATGAGGAGCAAGGAGGAGGATGCATTTCAGAAGCCTGATAACTTTAGAGCCAGATTAAGGGGATTTTTCAGATGAAAAATTGATTACATTTATTGCTAGAGAGTCCGATGCAGTTACTCATGGCTCCCAAGGATTCTTGAGCTGGGTTAATGGGGGCATATTCTGAATGCCTCACTACAAAATAACTTGAATCCAGTGAAGTTTCATGAGGGTTAAGAATATTTCAGGGATCCTTAATAGTTTGGTTTTTGTTTTCTGAAGTTGGATTTTTTTATCTGATCATTTCAGTTTATCTAAATTTTGTGTTCCAAACATGTGATGTTTGACTATACCATTGACTGTTAATAGAAATTCAGTATTATATGACCCCCCCGCTAATATACTAAAAATGTAGAATAAAGATTATTTTGGAGATTTGAATAAAGTGGTTCAGTTGCATCACCAAAATATATATATATATATATATATATATTACCTTCAATTACATCAAGAGGGTAACTGAGGCTACCTTATTTTTGTTGGCAGCTCTTCTAATAAGCTCTACAAATATAACCACGAGTTTGTGAAAGCAATCAATACCATTCAGAAGTCTTGGACTGCAACCAGATACACGGAATATGAGACTCTCACCCTGAGAGACATGATGAGGAGAGGTGGTGGCCGGAGAATCCCAAGGTAATAAAGCATATCCCTTTATCACTTCACTAATAAAGCTGTTTGTCTTGAATGCCACCCTCCCTTCCAACCTGCTGTGCCTGGTTTACCCACCATTTTATTAGTCATTGCAACCTAAACTGTTTAGGGTATCTTTGTTCCGACTGTCCTCCTCTCCTTTCCATAGATCTCTGGTGCTCTCTGAGTCCTGTTGATGGGTCTTGCTTTCACAGCATCTGCCATTTCCATCATTCCCCGGCCATTTTCTCTACACCAGTGTAGGGTTTTGTCATTTTTCTGCTGCATTATGGATCAGCCTTCCACATCCTGTCTCTCTAGTCCTGTCCCTTCCAGCCCCCATTCTCAGCCATTCCCTAAAATGCTAGTTTCATCCTGTATCCGGCTATGGCTGTGCTGCCACCTGTTATCTCATGAATACATTTCACCGGGTAAGCCATCTAAATTTGACCACGCCTATATTAGTACCATGACCTGTTTTCAAACAAGATGACACACAATTACCGAAATCTTTGCTTTCAAGTTACCTCTGTTCATGCCGCTCCCTTTGCTTCAAGTATCCCTCACCTTGCCTACAATAACTGTCAGATTTGTCACCTGTAAAAAATCTCAAAACCCTCTCTGTTATAAGGTCCAGCAAAAAAATTGCTTCTTATAGATCAATGTACCTCTACTACCCTCAGCCAGAATTGACACTTCCCATCTTTAGCTTACATACCCCATGGCATACTTCTTACTTTAGGAGATGGGGTCAAAAATACTTTGAATTTACATAGTCAGGAATTTGGCAGATTTTTAAAAATTTCCTCCAAACTATAGCTGGATCTATCAGAATATATGATCCCTTAACGTGGGTTAAACGGCCAAGGATAGTCCTGTTCCGGGAGAAATTGGTATAACCGAAGGGCAGAGAACTAGAAACCAGTATGGAGTCACTGGGACTCAATAAGTTAGTTAGGCAGGTTATTTTCCCTCTTACTACATTGAAACATTTCCCAGTTTTCAGAGAATACAATGATTATTTCTTAATATCTATAGAGTTTTTGGTTCAGATTTTGTTTGAACAGGCCACTAATTGATTAACTAAAATACATTTCTAATTTTTACATTTGCAGACTAATAATCCTAACACTCTGACATTTTTCAACTACAAGGCTCTATGGAGAATTTTCCTATCTCAACTGATAGCATTCTCTCATTATTCTGCCCCTTTCTCGAAAGAATCTCGTACAGTATTTCTCAAAGTGTATTCTAAGGAATTTCTAGTCCATGGGACGCTCTGGTTAATGGAAATTGGGAAAGGGAGCATGTTGTGTCCCTTCTCAGGTTCGCTAAAGTGATGGAGTTACACTGTGCATGTGTGAGACAGGAAGTCGAGAACTGTTTAGTGAAAATCCAAAGGAGCGTGAGAGGAAGAGGTGTCAGCATTTGGTCCTGGAGCTCCCGCCTAAAAGATCTGAGCCTTAGACACGATTGCTTGGCAGTGCATCATGGGCCATGCTGCTTTTACCTTGATGCCCTCCACCCAACCACTTTTGTTTTAGGAAAGGGCTAGCTTTATGAAGGGCTGCTTTTAAGGTGAAGGCTCCATAGAAATTTAAAGATCGAAGATAGAATTGAGTGAAATGGGAAATACCGAAGCAAACATTGTGGTCTGGCTGTCTGGTTTTCATTAGCATTTTTGTATATAAATTAGTCCTCTTAGAAGAATCCAGTGACATAATAGAATCTCTCAGAGATTCTTAACGTGAGGTTTAGGGAGTCATTGAGACTGCCAGAAGTGTAGAAAAATGTATTAGGTATGGTCATCTGCCTGAGTTCAGAGCTTTCACCAGATTCTTAAAGAATCTAGACCCAAATGATTAAGAGCCTATAATGTATAGTGCACCAATAATGTTTGCAGTCTTGTCTGTCTCACCAATTCCTCTTTCACTCTTCATTTTCACATCGTTGAGACTGATTGTTTTGTGATGTTAAACTCTTTGACAAATGTCACACAGCTAGTAAGTGGTGAAACCACTTGTAGGAGGTCAGTATGACCCTAAGATACCTGCTCTGAAATTACATTTTGCTACCAAACTTCAATTCCTTCTTTATCTTTTAAATTACTTAGTGTATCCTTAAGTATATACAAGACAATTAGTTAATATCTGTTGATTGATCAAATCTTTTGGCCTCTCAGTGTGAGATCCCAGAAACTCTTTATTCAGTTCTAAAATTGTTCGTACCCTAATTTTTACTTATAAATCTTAAAGGAAGTAACCAAGATTTGTTTCTTGGTTTGATTTTTCCCTTGCCCTATATATACAGTTTTCATGGTGCATAGCTTTTTTATGTACCTTGGTTATTCCATGGGTATTATCCAAGTTGTATGTTTTATAACATTACAACTTCTTTTTATTTGTGATCTAATTATTGTTTCATGTCTCTTAATACTGTCCTTCATATGGTCAAATAGCACCTCATGTTCATCTCTGTGTCATATACAGCTTCCAGCAATATCCCTGGCTTAGTTAATATTTTAGTGAAAGTTGACATTTCTGTATGGAATGTGCTGTCTATTTTTATAATTCTCAAGGTTATGATGGCTATTAATATGTGATTCTTTTTTCTCTCCCTCTATTTTAGCTCCCTTCCATTGTGTCCTAGCCTTGACTTACAGCCTCTCTAAAGCATGTGCGGAAGGGAGCTCCTTGGGAGTAGTTGCAGAGGACACGAAGAAGTCCAGAAAGAATCTTTACCAGTGACTAAATTGGAACCTGGTATAAAGCACAGGATAACCACTGAAAAGTTAGAACAGTACAGTCTGGCTATTGCCAAGTTGAATGAGAAATCCAAGTAGTTACAGGATCAGAAAGATACACATTATCAGGGTATAATAGTAGTGTCCTAACTACAGAATTGATGGAGCCTAGGAGTGAGTTTTCCTTGGGGGTTGGTGAGCCCGGGCTGCTGTGGGAGCAGTCCTTAAATTAAGAGGGAAAAACTCCTGAAGGGATTTCTTCAATAGGCAGTTTCAATGGAGCAGCGCAAAGACCTGGAACACTGAAGTCATGTAGCTGACTTGGGAAGCACCCAAGAAATCTAGTGTGTCTAGAGCTAGAATGCTGTTTGTTTTTCACTGCTAATACGGAGAAGCTTGTAGAACAGTTTTCTCATTTCCAGACAATGTGTCTATCCATCGTTCCAGGCAACTCTGCTTTTCGTGTCTTACTTTGCAACCATATCGTGTAGGCTGCAGGTCAATAATGATGAAGCATTTTTGTCTGTTGTTGATGGAGCTGGTCAGTCTACTTTATACTTAGACCTCTAATTTCTGTGCCTGCTTCCCTTCTTTTCCAGCTGCCTCATCATCACTACCAGCCATCTCCTGAATCAAACCTCCGTAGTTCCTCTCTTTTCCTTCATAGGCCATCTTTAACTTCCCATGTGTCTACTTTCTTGGTCAAAATCTGTTTAAGAAAATGCAGCTATTTAAGCATACTTAAAATAGCATCTCTGTGATGGACAGAACCAGTGTCATTTCATAGAAGAAAGTTAATAGATCCTGAAAAAGACACAGATAATGAAAGCCATTGACAAAACTTAGTTGTATAATTGACACATTGCATAATGGACACGTTGTGTAATGGAAACTCTGATGGGACAAGTGCTCTTTGGGCCTGAATCTGGATTCTAGGCAGCCAGGTAGCTGAAGTTATGGAATTAAAGGTGAGGAAGTCATCCTCAATGGAAAGACTCTATATTGAAGTCAGATGTGTATTTCCATCCCAGGCCCAAACCCGCAGCCCTGACCACTGACTTACAGGAGAAGATGTTACATTTGCCAGCGTCGTGGGATTGGAGAAACGTTCATGGTACCAATTTTGTTAGTCCTGTTCGAAACCAAGGTAAAAAGTTCTGATTTTTAATTTATTCATTCTGAAATGTTTATTGAACATTTACTATGTTCCAGGATCTTTGGTAGATTCTGGGGGTACAGAGATGCAACAGGCATGATCCACTTTAGTAAAGAAATGGAATATATACGGCCAACGGCCACCTCTTCCTTTTTGTATCCATCATAGACTTGGATAATAGATAATCTCTCCAGCTGAGCCCAGCATTCTTGAGTATCCTTCTCAAAATACGTTCTAGCTAGCTAATGAAATTAATCAGTAATAGGTAAGACAAACTCCTCTGCCCTCCCCAGTAGGAGAGACTCATGTAGAAACAAAGGATTGCATAGAATTAAAATTGGGGGCTCCTGGGTGGCTCAGTTGGTTAAAAGACTGCCTTCAGCTCAGGTCATGATCCTGGAGTCCTGGGATCGAGTCCCGCATCGGGCTCCCTGCTCAGCGGGGAGTCTGCTTCTCCCTCTGACCCTCTTCCCTCTCGTGCTCTCTATCTCTCATTCTCTCTCTCTGAAATAAATAAATAAAATCTTTAAAAAAAATTTAAAAAAAAAAGAATTAAAATTGGTCTTCCTTCTACAAGTGGTTTGGTGGAATCCTTCTTTGCTACTTGTCCATCCATTCTCCACCTCCCCCTGCCCCCCATTATTTAGTTTTTAGTTACTGTAAGAGCCCAGAAAAATGGATCCTTTAAATTTTTTTTTCTGGTAAAGCAAATTTTTTGAGCTGTGTAAGGACCTTTTTAATTCACTTTATGTCAGAACAGGACATATGATACTAAGTATTAACCCCACTTCCTGAATGGTGGCCTTGCACAGCCCAGATTTACCAAAAGTATCACTCTAATTGCATTTTACCTATTATTTTTGGAAATTTGATCCAGTATGAGTAGATTTAATAACTCTTCTTCTAATAGTACTTGATAGCAAATTATCTTGTTATCCTAAATTTTAGCCAACAATGACTCGGAGAATCATTTATACCATACTCAGGTTTATTGTAAGCTCATTTTGAAGATAATTATAGTACACATGACTGATTTGTTACTATAAAATAGGTGTAGTATTTGCTGTCTGGAAACATTCTGATTAGTGTCTCCTGAGATGATTATAAATTAATAACACCCAAAGATAAATTGTCCTTCCCCTTTCCTAGAAACTCAGTGACAATCAGCCCCTCTGACTGCTCAGCGTTCACCACCAGCCCTTCAGTTCCATGCTTGCTGAATTCTTGCCAAGTGTTCTGAGCATGTGGAGCTTTGAGCAGGTCTTGGAGCAGCCAGCCAGCTGCATTTCTGTCCTACAGATGACATCAGAGATCTCATCTCTTTGTCTTTGCTTTTACAAGTTCTTCTGGGACTCTTCAGCTCTAGCGAAATTATGGATCCTGAAAATTGTCCCCTGCCTTTCCTTTCCTGGGGAGGGCTTCTTTGGAAAGGAGGGTTAGGAAGTGAGAGAACTTTGAAGGTAATTGAGGAATGAATGGGAAGTGAAATTAAAGGGTTGATGTTAAGAGAGGATTAAAAGTTACTCTGTCATCAAACAGGTTCCCTGTACCTATCTGACAGGATTAAGTAAATAATGCATGTCAAGCATTGATTATTGAAAGCCTGGCACGTGGCTGCTTTTGCTATATTACCTGGCACGTGGCTGCTTTTGCTATATTACAGAGTGTTTATAAAACATCTAACGTGTTAAGATTTTTTTTTAATGGCTGGGGATATAAAGACAACTGTGGCATGGCTCTCAGCCTAGGGACTTGCAGTTTAGCAAGATCTGCAAGCAAAATATTAAAATACCATAGGGTAAATACTTAATAAAGTGTTTTTTTTTAAAATTCATCAGGAGCATGGAGAAGGTCAAAAGAGAAGTTTAGTTCCACTCACTTCCCGAAAGATACAATTGACTGGTAACAAGACAATAATTCAGGGGGCAGAAATTAGACTTTTTAAAGCCAAATTCTTTGACATTGGTTTTCTTGTAGCTTGGCAAAAGCTGTTGTCTGATGTTCCATATTGTTTGAGTGCTATAAATATGATTTGTACAGACATGGGCAATTTTTAAAGGTTCCTCTTTTGACTTTTGGTTTTTTTTACTTTAGGTTGGGGAAAAATTAGTTATTTTCTCTTCTTAAATACGGGGCTACTTGGAAATTTCCACTCACTTCAGGAACACCAGCATTCTAGAAAACCAGAATTCAGAATTACCCAACTTAAGGGAATTCACAACTTTTCTGTATTCAGAGAGCAAATCAAGATTAAGGGAAAAAAGAAATATTGGGAGGACAAATGAGGTTTTACCTTTACACTTGAAATCAGCTTTAAGCACCAGCCGTGTAGCTAGATCTCTTCCAAGTGTGAGAGGGAGGAGAAGCTAGGAAATTGGAAGACTTGGACTTTCTGGGTTCTTCTCCCCACTATGCTGTCTTTATTTATGATTGTATCTTCAGGAGAGAGGGGGAGTATCTCTCAGGTCACATTAGTTAGGAAGTGCAGTGTTTTCCTACTGTCTAAACTCTAGTTCATTTAAGCCTTGTTCTAAATACCATCTGTACCCTTAGAGCTGGAATGCAGAGACCTCACACTCTGTTCCACACTGTTCATTTTACACACAAGATAAAAAGAGATGCCAGAAAGGTCCAGTGATATGCCCAGGGTCCCACGACCGAGTGACGGGCTGAGGATGAAGACTCCCGATTCCTTACTCTTAGCTCAGCGTGCTCTCCCCTGTGGGAAGCTGCAGCCTAACACTGTTAAACCACGTGAGAATCATGTTTACCTATTGGGGATTGTGGAAATGTATTTACTGTAGACCTCTGTCTGGGTCAGATCCCCTTATTCTTTATTACGCTCTAGTCTTCTTAAGGGATAATAGTCCTTTTACAATCTACATTCTGGCCTTGACTGTTTGAAAAGAGGCATTAATTTCCTTGGCAGCTGACACCTTCTTCTGGGAACGTCAGTGGCTTGAGGAAGGTCATCTCTTTACCTCATTCCCCTGGTTTCTCTGTTCACAGCACATTCTGAGTCCTTGGATGGACACATGGCCTCGCCCTCCCACAGTGCTGGATGGTCCCATGAGGAGGGTTCCATGCTTAGTAGCAAGAGCGATTATTTCTGTGGCCACCATGGTCCAGGAATGCTGGATGACCAAAATGGGGCCATTTCCAGATACCTGGGAGGTTATTTATTAGAAGACACATGAAAGGAACATTGGCTTTGTCAGTTTACTATTGCTGATCTAGTTCTTTGACACTCTATCATTTGAAAGAGGGGTTCCCAAGGATAGTGTTACTTGGATGGTTCCAAAAACAAAATGTGCCAGTTAACTTTGGCATGGTTAGTGACTAGATGATGGGGAAGAAAATTTGAAAATTCTTTAAAGTAGATGCAGACCTATGAACTGAAAAGAGCACAAGCTGCATTAGGAGACACTTAGCCACTAGCACCTGCAATCTGTTAGTTTTGGGACTTTGGACAAGTCATTGCTTCTTTCTGAGTCTCCGTGTATACACTATCAAGTCAGTAGTACACTAGATGAATTCAAGATCCTCTCCCAAGCATTTGTCCTAATCTTCGTAATTGAGGTGATCTCTTGGCAGCAAAAGCAGTAGAAGGTATGGATAAATCTGAGCTATTTATAGGGAGAAGGTTGGGGAACATCTGAAATGGGAGAGTTAAAGGGTAGTTGAACTCTGATAGACCCTAGTCCAGGACCTGTGGTGGTGTTGAACCTCGCCAGAGGGCTCCCAGTAGGTTCTGCCTCCCTGATAGCTTAGAAACAAGGAAAGGTTGACTGCTTCCGATGAAGTCACTCTTTTTCCTGGTTGTAAATATGTGTCTACTTGTTCATAATTTGAGTCGTCTTTCTATAAACATACATGGAGTTTCTTCATTGCATCAGGCACGTAGATGAAGAAGGCACATGTCCTATGTACGCTCAAGGAAATTCACAGTTTAGTTTGAGGAAAGCAATATAAGTAATTCAGGAAGAGTTTAGGATGGTGGAGGCTGAGCATACAGTGTCCTGGCTTTCGTTTGCACTCAGGGAGGAACATGAATCAACATTACCTGGGGAAGGGAAAAACAGTGCCCTGATGGTATTCTAATGCATTGTGTTCTTTTGAATACTTCTCTCTCTAAGGAAGGCAGTACTAAATTACTAAATTCAGATTTATTAAAGAGAACAAAGGCAACACTTTGTGTAGGATGATTTTTTTTCATGTAATGCTGTCCATTAATCTTACTGTATGTGCATAAGGGAGTGCTCACCATTCAAATAATTTGGTAAATAATATATTAGTACATTGAATAACATCAATTGTGTATAACTACATTTAATACCAATGCTTTGGATTTGGTACAAGCATATCTCCATGTAGAATTTATATCAGTGGTAGAGGTAAAAGAGGCTCTATAGTAATAGAGATATTAAAATTATGTTCATTTTTTTCTAGAATTATAACAAGTTGAAATCCCAGCTTTGTTACATGCATGCCATATTTTCTTAAATGTATGTATTTACCCACATCTGTTGAGGAAACACAGAAAGATAATATTGTCCATATAAATTACCTCATAACAAAACATTCTTCCTTCTCTTGAAATAGCAACTATATTCCTAGCATGTGCTTCTTAAATACATTTATTTTGTCTTCAACAGAGCATCCAGGTATTAAAGCAGTTCTCTTTTCCCTGCTCCCTGACCTCCATTCAGCTACTCTTCATGTTCTTCTTTCCTCCGGGGGACACTTTTCAGGGAACCACAGCTGCACTGCTCTTCCCCTTTTTCCCTTAGAACCAGTCTGTTTTCAGTTTCACTACCTCCATCCTTAGAGTTTTACTTCCTCATTGGCCACCTTAAATACCATACCCATCATTATAATTTTAATCTCACCATTTATAATTATAATCTCTTACTTTTCTTGGACTTTGTAATATTTTGCCTCCTGGACCGTGGGTAAATTGAACTTTTTCTAATATGCCCATACCTGGGCCATTCTTCGGGTTCATTCCCCCCAACAAGTAGCTTTAGAAAATACTGCTCTTGAGGGGCGCCTGGGTGGCTCAGTCAGTTGAGCATCCGACTCTCAACTTTGGCTCAGGTCATGATCCCAGGGTCCTGGGATAGAGCCCCGAGTCCTGGCTCTGCATTCAGCAGGGAGTCTGCTTCTCTCTCTCCCTCTGCCCCTCCCCCCCATGTGTGTGTGCTCGCTCGCTCTCTCAAATAAATAAATCTTTAAAAAAGGAAAAGAGAAAGAAAATGCTGCTCTTGAGATACTAAAAAGCTCAGCTCACATGTATCCCTCCATAGTTGTCTCTGAACTGAAAGGCTCCATGTGCTGTGGACCTATATCATTTCTTCATTATCAAGAATACTATCAAATGCCTTGCAGAGACCAGAGGAGTTTTTTGGGTTTCGTTTTGTTTTGTTTTGCCTCCTAAAATAGTCTCAAGGAAAGCCCCATGTAGTAACATTTGTCTTTTGGTGAAAAAGCTGAGATCTTTATGTTTGCCTATAAGGTTAATAGTATTTCTCCATTGAATCTTCTATATTGGGCTGATCCTCATGAACAACAACAGCAACACTCAATATAAATATATTACTGTATCTCTCCACTCAGATTTGTCTGTGTTTCTTTGCAAGTGCTTCAGAGTTCCCTTTGGTTACATATCTTTCCTTTCGATCACCAGCATCGTGTGGAAGCTGCTACTCGTTTGCTTCTATGGGTATGCTGGAAGCAAGACTCCGAATACTAACCAACAACACGCACACCCCGATCCTGAGTCCGCAGGAGGTGGTCTCTTGCAGCCAGTATGCTCAAGGTGAGTGTTATATTTCAGGCACTGTTCACCGGGGTGCAGTTGGCCATTGTTGGCAAAGGTAAAAGGATGGTGTAGTAGAGAGCGTGGTGTCTAGAGTCGGAGCACCTGAGTGCAAGTTCTGGAGTTCAAGCCTTATCACTTACTAATGAGTGGTTCTCATGGAATTCACTGCACCATTCAGCAAAATGTCAGTAGTTACTACGTATTGAATGAGCACTAGCTCTTTGGAGCCTTTTATGTACATTATTCAACAACGCTCAAAACCCTGAGAAGTAGATATCCCTGTTTATTGACAGGAGACAGACATGAAGTTGTTCTATAATATTTTGAAGGCCACATAGCTTCTAAACATTAGAGTTTCAGTTCCAACTAAAGTTTCACTCCAAAACCAAATTCATAATAAAACCACATTCACACTGGTTTCCCTCTATGAGAAAGTGACAATTCTGTCCTTGGGCTTTCAGAACAGGCCCTGTGTAATTATGCAGAAAGCCCAGCTGCAATTGATTTAGAGCAAAACATTCTCATTTTAAAGTTTTCTGCTGTCATCTCCAGATTTGGCCACTAGAAAGTGAAACTGCTTAGGAATGATTATTTGTCATTGGGCCTTTTAGTCCCTTCTGAAATATTTATTAAACACCAACAGTGTGACTTCTAGGCCCTGGGGACTGAGTATCAGAGACAGTCCTTACCCTCATGAAGCTTAGACTGAAGTGAGGAAAGGAGAAATTAAGTAATTAAAGGAACGTTGAAGAAAAAATATAGGATTATGGACGTGTATAATACGGCAAGGACTGGAGGAGGGTGATGGGGACCGGATTTAGACCTTGTTCACAGGGGGTGGTCAGAGAAGACTTCCTTCAGGAAGAGCCATGTTGTGGTGTCTGGCTATTTAATAATGACTATAGTAGCCAACTTTTATTGCTTTTACATTAAGTAACTAATTTAATCCTACAGGGAAAGTTCTAGTCCTATTTATATTTTACAGATAAGTGAACAGAGGTACAGAGAAGTTAAATTCTTTCCACAGTTTAGGATTTGAACCTCCATGGTCAGGCTTCAGAGCCTCCCCATGTAACCACTATGCTATAGTTAACTTCCACACCAGGTGCCAAATAACTGTTCATGAGATGGGGATGAGAGAATAGTTGGCCAGAGGGCTATGGATGAATGAACGAAGTAGCATTTAAGCTAAGAACAACTCCTGGGTATAACAAAGAATTAATGGAGTAGAAAAGAGAAAAAAAAAAAAAAAAAAAAAATGAGACCATTTCTTCTGTGCCCCTTTCTAATAGAGGGGTAATAATAACTGTGTGTGTTATTCCTCCTCAGGCTGTGAAGGTGGCTTCCCGTACCTCATCGCAGGAAAATATGCCCAAGATTTTGGGCTGGTGGAAGAGGCCTGCTTCCCCTACACGGGCACTGATTCTCCATGCAAACCGAAGAAGGACTGCCTCCGTTATTACTCCTCCGAGTACCACTATGTGGGAGGTTTCTATGGCGGCTGCAACGAGGCCCTGATGAAGCTCGAGCTGGTCCATCACGGGCCCATGGCTGTTGCTTTTCAAGTCTATGATGACTTCTTCCACTACCACACAGGGATCTATTACCACACGGGCCTGCGAGACCCTTTCAACCCCTTTGAGCTGACGAATCATGCCGTTTTGCTGGTGGGCTATGGCACTGACACAGCCTCTGGGATGGATTACTGGATTGTTAAAAACAGTTGGGGCGCCAGTTGGGGTGAGAATGGTTACTTCCGGATCCGCAGAGGAACTGATGAGTGTGCCATTGAGAGCATAGCCATGGCAGCCACACCAGTTCCTCAATTGTAGGGAGCAGTTCCCAGCCTTTTAAATTGTAAAAGTCACAAGACGAGGGCGCCTGGGTCATTCAGTCGGTTGAGCGTCTGCCTTTGGCTCAGGTCATGATCTCCGGGTCTGGGGATCGAGCCCCAGGTTGGGTCCCGCACTCAGCGGGGAGTCTGCTTCTCCCTCTACCTCCCCCACACCTGCCTTCCTGATCATGAGTGCGCGCACACTCTCTGTCTCTCTCAAATAAATAAAATCTTTAAAATAAAAAAAATCTCAAGAAAATATGGCAATGATTATTACGCTTTTAAAAAGGTTTTTGTAAGTGTTCAGGTGATAGAGATTATAGAATTCATATGTGTGCTTAACAGTTTTCTCCACTGACCCTTTCAGTTAGACTTACGGTTATTACTTATGTAATAAGTATTTTGAAAACAAAGAATTTGAGTGTATTTCAATTAAAAAAACAAACTATGAACCTTTATGATAAGGGGTATACTCAAATAATGACTAGTTAACCCTAAAATTATTCCATGGATATTTGATGAGCTAGAGGCCAAAAATAGAAATCAGTTTTGATAAAGATCTGGATATTGATTAAACTTTCTTTCGGTGTATCTTGCATCTGGAAGTATTGGTCAGCCTTCACTGGGTGAGCATTTGTAAATTAGTGAAAAGTTAGCAGTTTAGATTTGGGCTGATCTTGGATCTCCAAGGGATATTTCACAGTGATATGAAATCTGTGGGGTTAAACAGATGGCATCTATTAGAAATGATGTGACAATCAGGCAGATTAGGTGGTCAGAGTTCTAAAACATAAGCAAAATCCACAAGCCTCTTGGAACCGGTAGGGACCGTAGAGGTCATGGGATCTATTCCTCTCTGCACGGAAGGAATGATTAGCTCGGAAAAGGGCATGTGACGCGGGTCAGGTCACACAGGTGGTAAATGACTGGGTCCGGGTAGACCCGAGATCTTCAGACTGAGTCTCAGTCCTTTCCACCAAAAAAATCAAAAATGACTGGAGATACTAGGTGTATACTTGGAAATTTCACGTGTTAAGCGTCAGAGTTTTGTCTGAAGCCTCATGGACTTTTTGTATTGCAGTTCACTACAATGACGTCTTTTCTCTCCTTGCTGGAATATGCCCCATGTGTAAGGTGTGGCTTCTTGGGTGTCCTGGTGCACTGCCACATACCTTTGACTCTCTCACCACGTGGTGACTCAGAAGCAGACGCAATGAATGGCAGGCAGAGCCAGGGTGCTTGTCATGTGGAAGGCCTCCAAGGAGCTATGAATGCCGTCTCAGTCTTACTTTATTTCTCGCTTTCCTTGTTGCTATTGTGAAAGTGTAAATAGACTTTGAAATCAAGCATGAATTTACTTTTCACTAGAACTTTTAGAGATATTACCTGTCAGCTTAACCAATAAGGTATTATTTAACAGGAAAGCAGGAGCTTATCCTCTGGTTTTCCACCTGCATGGCTGTCTGCTCACCCCAATGGGAGTAAGTCATGAAGATGCAGGGCACCCGTGCTTGTGCACAATTTCATGAGAACCCTGGCCGAGCTCGTAAGGAGAATCATTGCTGATATCATTCATAAAATACTTTGGGAAATATTGAAAGACTACATAGAGGTGTGAACCTAACTGGTGATGGGAAACAATTCTCACAAGCATGATTAGTTGACAAGCAATGGTTCGAGGAGACCCTAAATTTCTTGACATTACAAGAGGGATTACCCAGAACGAGAGCTCAGGTTCCCCTGCACTTGAACCTGAATTTATCTGCTATGGGAGTCTGCTTTTCCTGTTTCTAGATGACAGATCACTTTTTCATCCCCAGTGGCAGAATTCATTAAAGATGGTGACTAAATGGAACATCACAGTTCCTCAAGCTGTGTGATTAAACTCTTAAGCTATAGAAAAAACAAGTTTTGTAATCTAAAACTGTTTCCTTTGGTGCTACTAGAACATGGAATCAGAGGCTGTTGATCGGTGGCGCTCTGCAAAAAATGGAATGGGAACTCGGGCTAAGCTCCCCAAAGACCTATCCAGAACAACAGTGTTGTATGTGTGGAGACACCACCACCCACAAAGGAAAATAAAGTTTTAGCTGGGCAGTCAAGCACAAGCATGGCATTGACTTGGGTGCCTGGTGCCTAGATCAGCTTTCTGGCTCTGCCTCATATAAGCCATAAAGCCTGAGGCAGTTTCCTTAACCCACATGTGCTTCAGGTGCCTGAACTGCGGGATAGATAACCCTCCCTGTGTGAGCTCTCCCTCTAAATCCTTGCTGTTGCAATGACGGAACCAAATAGATTTGCACTTTCGGATGCCATTGTTTGCCTTAAGTTCAAGCCTTTCACCATCCCAAGTGGGGAAACCGAAGTAGATTCAGATAATGCAGTTTCCCAGCCAGGCATACTTGCTCACTGACCTCTAGTTGACCTCTAACCACCAAAGCCAAGAACTGGATAGATCTGAATAGTAAGGGATATACATGTACCTACTTCACAGAGTTTTCTGAGGGTTAAATGCCTTCCTAATATGTAGAGCATGTAAACAGTGCTTGGAAGATAGAAACGAGAATGTAAATATTAGTTATTACTCAAGTCTTCCTTTTCTAAATTCAAATTATAAAATAATTGTTTGCTATGAGGAGGCAGCTAAGACATGTTCCATTAATAAACAATCTCTATGAGAGTAGAGGAGGGGCTTATGAGATTCTTTTAAGGAAGAAAATCTACAGAAGAACACTAGCATAAAGAAACAGAAAAAACCTTCAAAAACTTGAGGGAGATCATTTTGAATTTTTTGGTACAGGTTTTTTTGTTTGCTTGTTTTTAAGATTTATTTATTTGAGAAAGAGCACGAGCGGGAGGGGCAGAGGGAGAGGGAGAGAGTCCCAAGCAGACTCCGTGCTCAGCAGGGCTTGATCTCACACCCCTGAGATCATGACCTGAGCTGAAACCAAAAGTCGGACGCTTAACCAACTGAGCCACCCAGGCGCCTCTTGGTACAGAGGTTTTTACATCCTTCACCACATGATTGCCTCTGTTGCTACCTCTGTGGAGAGAAAAACAGTGAGAGGCCATCAAGTTTGGAAGGCTATGGCTGAGAAAAAAGTCACTGCAATTTTAAAGCAAAAAAGACTATGGTTAATCTAAGGTTGTAATATGTTTATTTTCCTATTTTGGATTTTCCAGTAAAGATAAGGTAAGCATAACAGAGTCACAAAACATTAGTGCTGGTTCATCTCTTGTTAAAAATGGGCTTACAGAGGGGAAGTAGCATACCTGGGGCTCTAGTTAATAACGCTAAGTCTAGATTCCACTGAATCCAGAACGTTCTACTGTTCCTGCTGCCTCCCAGTTACAAAAGGAGAAAGAAATCCATATGTTGCGAGACACATAAACTCACCTTGTTCTGTAAAATCATTTCTAAGTTGTTTTCCAGCTTTCAGAAATCCTATTATCTCTCAGGGGCAAGTACTCTAAGCTTCAGTCCACATGTGATGGTTTGGAAGGCTTAATTTAACAGTTGTCCTCTAAATACAGCGATATTAATATTTCTATGTCTTAACTGTAGTAAAGATTTATTTCTGGCCTAAAGTTAAGTGGAAACTTCCTGACCATGACTGGAAAGCTTTAAATGTATCAAAGTCTTTTGCTCTGACAGGAATTGGGTGGACTTGAAATTGAATATTGGTAGTGGGTCAGTTAGCCACTGGGCCTTCATTTCATCAGCTGTAAAACACTGGCCTCATTGAACCGTAGTTGTGATTGAAAGTGTGAAATCACCTGGACTGTAAAATAATTGAAACCTCAGCAGACCCGCCTGTGCTACAGAATGTCCTCGTGCTGACAGCTGACCAAAATCTCAGGAGAGAAACTAGCCTTTGGACAGAAAATGCAACCCGTGCCTTTGCTGATTTCCTCCTTTTTCCCTGCAGAAGTCTGTTTCTCAAGATTGCTTTTCTTTAAATGCTTTTTAAGAGTTGGGAGAAGTGAGAAATTTAACCTCTACTCTTCCAAATTTGAGGATGTGATGCGGATCCAAAACGTTGAGTTGTAGCTTTCTGTCCTAAAACGCATATTTGTTTTTTGAAATTCAATTCTACTGATCATGAAAAGAGGAAAGAATATGATAAACTCCAAACCCCTCAAGTCGAGAAAAATGTAAAGCAGATTTGTTACCTTCCTCTAATGCAAGTAGACGGGTCTAAAGAGATTGAAATCCTAGCAATCAATGGAAAAGAATTAAGCTGGAGAAATAGCCTTCCCCTGTGGAAATGAGGGAAATGCCACAAAGCTAGGGTTGTGCTTTAAAGTAATAATTGAGATGATTTATTTTTTTTCCTGAAATGTATTTTCTGACCCTTCAAAAGTATTGAATAGTTTCAGTGTAGTTTAAGTGTTAGAAAATGAATGCCCTTAATACCAGATTTTTATACCCTCGTTCTCTTTTGTGGGGTTCTGGAGAGCTTAAAAAAAAGAAAGTTAGATTTTTCCTTTAAATTAACTATTCCTATGGCATCTTAAGAAATGCACAGTATTCCCAAGAGGCAGCAGACATGATTCCAGTTCTGCAGCCTGAAATACAGTTGAGCAGTAAGAAGAATGAGTCTATGGAGAGAAAGTAACCAAAGTAGCATTGTGCTCTGAAAATACTGTGAACTTTGGAAGCAGACAGTCCTGACTTTGAGTCTTTGCTGCTCTAGTAGTCGTTATTTAGACCTTAGTTCAGTTAGCGAACAGAGATTTCTAGCCTTCAGTGTTTATGTGCTGAAAGGCAATGGTAATATTCACCTGTCTGGGCTATGTGCAACAAAGCATAAAAGAAGCAATAAGTGTTTGTTTATATTACCTGCCCTGCAAAGAGTTTAAAGTTCTTTGTAAAGGTAAAGGTGCAGTACAAAATAAGTTCAAAAGAAATGAGCGAATGGAAGTAAAGGAAAATAAAGGTAGGAGAGTACGGTATGACCATGAATAAAGTCTGTACAGAGTCTAACACATTGCCTGATACATGAAGATCACGCTTCAACAGTGGTTCGCGGCCAGAGGTGATTTGTCCCTCAGGGGACATTTGACAATGTTAGCAGACACTTGGGTTGTCATGCTGGGAGAGGAGATGCAATTTGCAATGAAGAATCATCCGGCCCAAAAATGTGAGTTGTGCCAT